TGTGGCTGTAAAAAGTTTATTTCACAGCTCGTTATTCAAAATTAAAGAGTGGCCGTACTTTCACCTCTAAATTTGTCATAAATGCTTGTTTTAAGACCTTAGGGGAGGGATTGCATTTTCTTATTTAATGTCATGGAAAGGATCCAATGAAAATATGAAGGCTGGGGACGGTCTCACTTTTTTATAGAATGAAATATAAGTTTCAGCTCCCCTCATAAGTGCAGTAAATTTCTTACTGTCCCATAGGAAAGTGAATGGACAGGAATGGTTTCCATGAGACTACACACACAAAAAATAGTGCCATAGCACAGGTTAAGTGACCTCTCCAGGGTGTACTTCTCGCTCAGTGTATGCTGGGACAGGCTTCACTGGATAAAGGGGTATAAATAATAGATGACTAGATGGAAATTAGGCTGTTTAACTAGCGAGACCATATGCCACATATCCACCGCATCATATGGCACAGCTCTAGTCAGCTGGGGTCACTGTGTTTTGGTTTTCCTTTGGCAAAAGTCATGGACAGTACCTTTTTTGGTACCACCAGATTTAAGGTTCTATGCGGGCTGATACTAGAAGGTGGGGTTGAAACACTACAGACCACTGATTAGTCAGAGGGTACTGTCACTAGAATATTCACCATTTTTAAATAGTCAAGCTACCATCCATTTTTTCACTCACCCCAAATTTTAAAAGATGGCAGCCTGCAAAACTGGGCTGTAAGGCTGTACGTGAGCTGTGTGTTCATCCGAGAGTCTGTAGGTAGGAAGGGAAGAGACCTGATTATCATCTAACTGTACATCCTACAGGAAGTGATGCCCGTCAACAGTAACACGCCTGTTGGCATTGAGAGAGGTGAAACCTGTGGGCGGATGTTGACAAGCACGCATTGGCTTCCTCTTTCCACATTGCAAATACAGAAGGAGGAAGTAGCAGAGAACATTAGACACATAGTAAAAATCCATTGAGAAAGGTGTGCCATCAGTGTGCCGTCTTCATGATCTAGGAAAGGATTTCCCTTTTGCTTTCTATTGTGCTTTTCACCAGGAACCACCCAATACCTTGATTAGATGAAAGAAAAAACAAATTCTTTGAAGCATTAATGATGCACAGAGAATGAGTTGGCTACTCACATGTAAAACATCTAAGTTAGTCTGTAACTTGAAAAAAGCCTGACTGATGAAGATGTACAAACCTTTAAGGTGCGGACACACCAAACCGACATCAAAGAACTAGTGGCGACGAAAGCCAACTGTTGCGTCATCTACGTTGTGTCACGTCGCCCTGTGTCAGTTGCATTTGTACACACTACACGGACTACATCCGATGGCCAAGTGGCACGTACGTTCTGCGCCTGTGTGAGAGAGAGCGGAGTGACAGAGTGGTACATCCTGTCAGTCGAGGGGTTTCCTATCTGTGCAGCCGAGCACCGCAGCAACTCCACGGACTGTTACATTCAGACAGTCCTGGTGTTTCCTCCGCAGGTTCCACCTCACTCAGCTTCACTCAGCTGCCCGACAAACCCACTGCTTCTTCCCACTTTAACCTGAATAACAAACCAGGTCTCGGTGCTCCAGTTGGATCCAAACAGAGAGCCAGAGCTAGCTCAGAGACTAGCAGAGGCTAACTGGCTGTGCGTCCCTCCGTCACGCTGCGGCTAACGCTAGCTGCTTACAGCTAGCTCCGGTTTGTTATTCAGATTAAAGTGAGAAGAAGCAGCTGATCTGTGGGCAGCTGAGTGAAGTGGAGCCTGAGGAGAAAGCACCGGTTAGCCCGGTTTCACTACAGGCAGATTCACTCGCTACAGGGGCGAGGAAATAAAACCTAAACAGCCAATCAGAGTGATCTCTTTCACCGACTAGCTCCGCCGCCAACTCAACATGCTCAATTGGCCGAAAAGCCTCTGACGCTGAAGTGCCGACGGTGCGGGACACACCGCAAAAACTAGGCCGACAGACACTCACCGACAGCCCGACTTTGGTCGACGGCCGACCGTCGGCTTGGTGTGTCAGGGCCTTTAGGCTTGTAGCATTTGTTTTCTTTCCTCTGTGGGTCATATGTTTGAGGTTTTGCACATAATTTGAAAGTTTATAGAATTATTTACAGTGTTGATATGATGTTTTTCTCTTGGATTTGTGCCATATATGGGAGATATTTATTATTTTTATACATATTAGTTTGACATACAGTTCTTCCAGTACCATGTGGGACTGGCCAAATGTTTGGCATAACACAAAAATAATATAAATGCTTGTTTTCTGAATGAAGTCTGGTAGTTCTTTCGTTGGGAAAAAAAACACCAACACTGAGAAATTGATGCTGTTTGTCTGGAGTAAACAGAAGAAGAACTTGGGTTTGTGAGGCACAAATACCCAGTGACTGAACAGAAAGACAAAAGCGCCACAGAAAATCAAAGAAAAAATCACAGTAGCTCACACACTGTTTGATCGACAGGTGAACTCTGGAGAGTGGAGCGCAGGAAAAAAGGGCACAAAGGAAAAAAGGAGAAACACAAATCAGATATCTGGCAGATTCGGAGTTATAGTGCTGACAACTGCCTGCTTTTGATTCAGGAATTCAGAGAGAATCTGAAAAACAGACCTACTCCCTTCAAGTACTAAATTTTGGATATTTTGCTCAGGTCAAAGTACTGAAGTACAGGCAACAAGATGGACCAGATATCAAAAACTAATGTCTTTCTACCAAACAAACTGTCTTACCGCATAGAAGGAACCATGCGTCTACTCATGGATGAGAGGCTCGTGCTTGTGACAGCAAGAGATGTAAACATTAATGGCATCCTCCTGGACTGAAGCCGGATTTATACTTCTGGGTCGAATCAACGCCATAGCCTACACCATAACCTGACGTGCACCTCCCCAGAAATGTAACAACACATCACAGACGTGACAACGCCACACAGACCTCCTGGCTATTTCTGTAAGCTGAAACCATTTCCCTTTTTTTATTTACTTTTATTTCACAGATAAGAAACATTGAGCCTCCACAAAAATAGCATTTAATGCCTTGTGTGGGATTTATCCTGGCTTCATATGAGCAGAGGGAATCTCCGCTAGTTGCTAGGCTAATTTATACAATGTAAAATGCCATGGGCCTGTGCTAATATCATTAGCATGTAATATTTGTTGAATAAATGTTGTTGTCTAATATAATGTCGGTGGACCTTGTGAGTTGTAATTGAGTGGAATTTCGTAACACTACCTTTGTTAAATGTTGCTGTTGTCCCTGGTTTTATATGAGTAGAGGAAATGTCTGCTAGCTGCTAAGCTAATTTATACAATGTAAAATGGCTTAGGCTTGTGCTAAAAACATTAGCATGTTGTATTTGTGGGGAAAATGTGTCCCCCGAAAGAAAATTGCTTTGTCTTAGAATCCTGTGATTTATAGTGAAGCCGATTTTTGTACTTGTGTTTGAAATTGTTGCTATTAAGCCATGTTTAGGGGCAGCAGTAGCTCAGCCCATAGGGACTTGGGTTGGGAACCAGAGGGTCTCCCGTTCGAGTCCCCGTCCGGACCAAATATGGAGCGTGGACTGGTGGCTGGAGAGGTGCCAGTTCACCTCCTGGGCACTGCCAAGGTGCCCTTGAGCAAGGCACTGAACCCCCCAACCGCTCGGGGCGCCTGACCAAAGGGCAGCCCCCTCACTCTGAGATCTCTCTACTTTGTGCATGTATAGGTCCTGTTTGTGCATGTGTGTGTCTTTCAGACCTGTGTGTTAATGACAAGCAAGAGTGAAAAACATTGAATTTCCCCTCAGGGGATTAATAAAGTAAATAAACTTAAACTTTAATGTGTGTTTTGAATCATCACAACTTTAAAGCACTTCACAGAAACCCTGCCGCCGACAAGTGTTTTGAAGGTGTAACTGCAAAGTGACAAAGACACATAAATATAAATGCTCACAATGGTGTAAGCCACGTGCGTAGGCTACATAGCATAGCATGGGCTCTGCATAGAGCTGATGCACAAGCATAAATCCGCCTATAGAAGGAAGCATGCATCTAGTAGATGCATGCTTCTTCTGCGCAGTGATTCAGTTGGTGGGTGTAGTTTGGCAGAAAAAAAATAGTTCCTCCATAAATCTGCTCACAACAAGGTCTGTGGATTATCTAGAGTAACCGGGACATGATTTCTGGAAAGAGACATTACTGTTGAGTTTTTAAATTGAATTTCTTTGGCACTTTGAGCACCACAAGCTGAGTGCCATCTAGATCCATTATATTGGAGAGAAGGCAGACATCTCTATGCCCTGTATCTCCAACACTTGGCAACTCACACCAAAGCAATCTACACTGATAAATAGCAATGCAGGTAGAAGGAAAAATATGTATCTTTTATTTGTAGATGGACTGTCCCTTTAAGTAGACTTTTTTTAAATACATGCCTTTTACTTAGAGGATTACCTTGTGGCATTGCGTCTTTTACTTAGGCTAAGTAAAAGATCTGAGGAGTTTTTCCACAACTGAGTAGAAATATCAAGTTGCATCATGATTGTACCACAATACTTAAGTAAAATTATGCAGTACAGGATGTAACCCAAATTCCACCTCTTCATTTCCTCCCGTTTTCCCTCCCCACTTTCCCTTTAACGCATAAAGAGCATGGAGCGACAACGTGGCCAGGCGGAATGTAAACAAAGGATCCCACTCAGTAAACGGGCCAAATCATTAAATAAACCAAACCTTTTTATCTCAAACGTTGCACAAACATCCTCCAGCCTGTATACACACACATACCGATAATTATATCCTAAGATGGTGTATTTAAGATGAGGGAATGGGAACAATTAAACCCGAATGAATGCATTCAAATCGTCACTTTAAGATGTTTTTTCCCGGCTCGTGCGCTCAGCCAAATGAGTAGCTGGAGGGAGGCGAATGACAGAATATGCAAGAAACCCCCCAGCAGTGTAACATGACGCTTCAGGAGTTGCCATCATCACATGGCAGATGGAAATTTCCACTCTGTCTCCTTGCTTGTTAAATGGGAAGGGTCTCCAACTCTTGTCTCCACTAGTGCGCCTCCTCCTCCGCCTGCTACAGCTGTCCGCCACACTGAAACATTAGGTAAGCCCACCATACATTTTCATATCCTTACTTTTATTTTTTTTAACCTACCCTGCAGCTGCTGGTTTATTCCCACCAACATCTTTGATTGCTGTAGTTTAATTCTGATTTATTACTGGTTTTATTGGAATAAAGAGGATTTTATAGCCTAGTTAGGCAATAAAATAAGGCGTGTTTGCGCGTGAGTTTAATGCTTTTTAAACTTTATTTTCTACTGTGAATTTTTTTCTTGATCCATTCACAAAGTAAGGCGTTAAAGGGAAGGAGCAACAGTAGCGGTGTGCAGAGCGCTTCCTGCAGGGTGTTGCCTGAAGTCAATATAAAGCCGCGTAAAGCGCCAAACACGCGGCTTTATTTATACAAGAGAATTAGCTGTAGTCTGCTGCACGCTGATCACTTAGTGTCTGATTTCACTCGGAAATACACACATCTCCTGTAGTCACCAGTTGCTCATATGGAGTCAAACTACACGTTGCATGTTGTGTTGTGCTGCCTTTTCGCTCCTAGTGACAGAAAACACAAAGGCGACTGGTATTGTTTCCACTTTGCATCATTTAGACTGCTTTGTTCCTGTTCCCAGTGTGCATGCAGCCTCTAAGTCATGGAGATAAAGTAGTTTTGCAGGGATGAGCAGAGGAGGAATATGGATAACGGTGTAATGTAGGGCATGGGTTTATATAACAGGACACAGGAGCATGCCGAGTGTGGTCTGCAGGTCTCACTGAGAACCAATAAATATGTTATGACTGCAAATCACAGGCTCAAACTGCTGCCAGGCTCTGCTTGAGAGTACTATACAAAATTTTTGAAATTGTTTTAACTTGATTTAATCTCCAAAAACCTGCCTATAGGCTCTCTTGAGCAGAAACCAGTTTTTCTTTCTTATATCTGGTCTCATTCTTCATTCTCTTAAACTGATGTGTTGTGTAGTCTCTCTGACTATGTACCTGGTAAAGACTGTGAGAGTGAAACGGATCTAAAAGCAACACAGAGCAGTATCATTTAGGTCTTTAGAGGGATTTTCTAGGATGTGCCTTTGCTTGGATACTTTTCATACACATTGTTGTCACTTTCTTTGCTGTAATACTTTTATGTTCATCCTCTTAACCCAGTTTAAGTTGAGCATTTGAAGCAACACCCCATAATCCCAGCCACATACAGCAAAGCCACTGGAAACAAAGACTACATTCAGCCAGGAGAATATCTTGGTTTAGGCATATTTAAGTAGTGAGTTCAGATTCTATCATCGCCTTTCGGACTGCTAAAAATACCCGGTTGCCACACATTGAAAGTGAATGTACACTCTCTAACCAGCTCTGTTCTCTCTGCACCTTAGTTGCTTAAGAAGAAGTGATCTGGTGATGTCTTCCCTTAATGAAGCTCCACCTACGCCTTTGTCAGATAGCTCTGAAAAGAATCCAGTTGTAAGAATAACCAAGTGGGTGTGTTTAATGGTGACTGTGGTTAAGTTCAAGCTTTGAGGTGCACACTCGCTTAACTAAAGCTGCATTCCTTCACACGCATAGTTTTTCTTACAGAAATGTGCTTAGATATGGATGAAAAAAAAAACAAGAAGAAATGTCACTTGTTGAAGAAACTTTATAGTCACACTGCTTGGCTGCAACTACACATTTTAAAAAGGAGTACGGAGTAATTAAGGTGTAATTAAGTTGATTAAAGTTTAAATGGAAATCAGTAAATTTGCATTATTAAAGGGGAACTCATTTTTTTTTCAACCTGGACCCTATTTTCCGATGTACTTTTGTTTGAATGAGTGATAGGATGTTCAATATTTGACATTTCTCCAGTACAAAGCGTGGGCTGACATGCCTGCAGCCCGTAAGCGTGCGCACAATAGGGCACTCAGACAACGTCAAAATACATCCACCAAAAGATCCAGTTGGTCAAAATCGGGTAAAAATTCAGACATGTTTGTTGGGGCAAGTCAAAACACTCACTCAGAGAGTGAAAATTTGGCTCTGAAATCTCACGTCTCGCGAGATTTGAGTTGTTGCAGGAAGTTACCGCTGGAGTGACCTTACAAACACGAGGAGTTACTCTGGTTGGAGTAGTCATGGCTGAATTTTTACCCAATTTTGACCAACTAGATCTGGATGAGCCATTTGAATTTGATGACTGCCCGTATTTATTTGAACACGGAGTACACGGTCGTACACGGACACAGAGCTCATTGAAATTGAAGAGCGTACGAGGAGTGAGAGGGAGCAGCAACAGGCAGAGGAACATGTCCAAACCCAGCTTAAGTTTAACACAGACATTCATTTCTCCTTTCCGTTATGTTGTCGGATAATTATACTAACAATCTGAGCCTATCTGTGTGAAAAAAATGCACTTTTAGTGGACGTATTTTGACATTTGATGCTGTCTGAGTGCCCTATTATTTAATATAGCATGCGCTCACAGGCTGCAGGCAGGTCAGCCCGAGCTTCGTACTGGAGAAATGTCAAATAATGAACATCCTATCACTCATTTAGACAAAAGTAGATCGGAAAATAGGTTGAAAACAGGTTGAAAAAAACATTAGTTCCCCTGTAAGTCCTCTAGTTTAAAGGGTCACTCCAGCCATTTAGTATTTTAATTCCCAGAGGTGGGACCAAGTCATTAGTGACTGAGTCTTTAGTCTTTGCACTCAAGTCTCATGTAAAGACAGGCAAGTCCTAAGTCAAGTCCCAAATCCTAAACTTTGAGCTTTGAGTCCTTAATAAGTCATAATGCTCTCTTCACCAAATCATTGATACTTTCTATAATTTGCATGTATTAGTTAAAACAAATTTGTTGGAAGTTGTTGCGTCTCTATCTACAATTTTTTACCTGCAAGTTTTGCGTATTGCAGTTAATTCTTTGCAAATTACGGCATAGTTTTTGCACACAAACAAAAGTATCTTTGGTATAATTTTTTCCAACTGGCACTCAGTAACTTAAATTTAGTTCTTAATGGTTATCTCCTGCAACTTGATTGGATGCTGTCTGATTGGTTGAACCAAAGTGGATCATGTGGGGAATTAAGTGTCGACTTGCTGGGAATGAATAGCGTTAATGTTTGTTGATTCGGAAACAAAGGAAAATGAAGTATTCATACACTCTTTTTAAATAAGGGATCAAGTGTTTTCAAGTCTAAGTGAAGTCATGAGTTATTGGTGATAAAGTCCAAGTTGAGTTACAAGTCTTTTTTTGACTGTTGAGTCTAAAGTAAGCAAATTTGTGACTCATTTGAGTCTGACTTGTGTCCAAGTCATGTGATTCGAGTCCACACCTGTGGCAATTCCACAAATGAATTTCATGCAAGAGACAATTTTAAAGAAGAATGGTCAAAATCAAAGAAGCAAAAGCTGAGATATATTGAAATTTAGTCCTTGGTATGAATCCTACATTTCCCATAATGCCCCTTGATAGTTTCTTTCATTTGTGCCTCGCTGACTGTTAAATACCTACATGTTTCAAACATTACGGCACAAGTTTGTAATGCAGGGTTTCTGTTGAAAATGTTAAGTCTCAAGCCCAAGATGAGGTAAACCTGATGACATCACTACAACATTATCAGACTTTTTGTCTTCAATTTAAAAAAGCTCCTGCTAGAGCCACAGAAGATAGTCCACAGTTGTTGTCCCAAGCTGTGTGGTAGTCCCAGTGATGAGTAACCAAACTTCATGTGTAAAATTGGTGGAGTGTCCATTTAATGTTGCACCTGTACACTCTAACAAACTAAGTTAAAACACCCAACTCAAGACTCCTCAGTAACTTCTCAAAGCTGCAGGTGAGGAAAATACCAGCACAGGCTTGAACACCTGTCAGTGGGGCGGAGCTTGGTTGTGGATTCTTGCTCCTCATTGGCTGTTAGGAGACCTGAAAAACTTGTAGGTCAGGCCCTGTTGAGCAGCTGGGGGTGGAAGTGCTGCTGGTGCTGGCTGATGTAACTTAGAGAGCGATTGGGCAAAATGAGCTGTGAGCCAGATGCCGAGGCATTTTCAAAGGATATCACTCACACAAAGACACAGTGACGCTGTGCCACAAAGGGGAGAACCAGTTGGCAGTTTTCCAAAACGCTGTCAACACATTCAGTAGAAATCTGAGAAGGTGGCGCAATGTAGAACGTAAGGCGCTGCCTATTTTTACCTATGGAATTGCATAATGCAGTGATGTGGAATGTCCATTGAGGACACTTGTATGTTCACAAAGCATACACATGCAAAGTTCTTTAATATAAGAAACACTGTTAATCCTCGCAGGGAAAGTCCCTTTTTTTTTCTCGCCTGCCACGTGGTGGTCTGAGGTCAGAGGTCAGCTCCGGGGGTTTAGAGTCTTGCTGAAGATCCTATAAACACAGAGGGATGTTTGCCGACACAGCTGCTTGAGCACTTAGCTCAGGATCCATAACTTTTTACAAGTTGTGATTGCTATTAAGAGCAGGGTTTGTAAAAACTGAACAGCCCACACTGAACTTGCACATTTTGCATATATCAATACATTTTCTTCAGAGTTTAACCAAAAAGAATCCCTCGTCATCTATGAGGAATGACTGGCAGCCCAAACTTGGCGAATATAAGGCCTGTTTTTGCCTTTAACATGGCCCAACAGGATCCAATATCAGTCTGTATTGATGAGTAGAATTGCAGTCTATAAAATCTTAACAATACACAATCCTTGGGAAAGATGAGGAGGGGGGAAGTGATGTCATCACAGTCTCTAGTCTCTTCCAAAATGATGGCGTGTCATAACGACACCGGGCCTCTGAATAATCAGAGCATGACAGTTTCATGGCCACTGATACAACAGTACATCAGTTTCAGACTCAGTGAGGAGTCCCGCACTGTCTCTGTCCTGATCAGAGAGGAATTAAATCTGTCAGAGAACAGTGCATGCTTATGACCCATTTTGTATAATTAAATTGACCTAAATTATGGATTCAGGCTTACATAATGTGAAAAGATGCCATTCAGCTTCTGCTGCACTTAATTTGACCTGCTAGAGATTGTAGAAAG